GAACAATACACACCCTAATGTGGGCTCTTTCAGTCTTTTGAGGAAAATAAGTTAACCAGTTAAGCTTGAGGTTTGATTAAAAGACATATTCTACAAGTTTGATCATACAGTCTATATGCTTGTGGAACTAAACAGCTACACTTATTTTGAATTAATGCATCATTTTCTGTCTTCACAGCAGATTTAATTTGTATGTACAAAAGAAAAACAGAACAAATGAAAGTCAACTTCAAAAGTTTGGGGATATACATTATCCCATGGAAGTCGGACAACAAAACGAGCTGTGAAACATGTGAAATACACAGTACCGATGTTCTCTGTGCTTCCTATAATGCTGTATTTATACTTCTCAATGCTTCCAACCATCCATAAAATCTTCCTGTGGAGATTAGATGACAAAATCTGGCATAACGTGGGCCTACACTATAATCTGGAATATTTTACATCTTCATATAATGACTGCAAAGCCCCTCAAAAAGATATTTGAAGACCCTGCACACTTGCACCCTATGGAGAAGAGAGCTTACTGCAGCTCATGAAGGAAGATGTTGCTCTCTCTCAAGATCGTAAGAGAAGGAAAGACAGACCACTGAAAACTGGAAGGAAGAGAAGAAGCCAGAGAGAATGATGAGGAAGAAGAAGAAGAAGAGGAAGAAGAAGAAGAAGAAGAAGAAGAGGAAGAGGAAGAAGAAGAGGAAGAGGAAGAAGAAGAGGAAGAGGAAGAAGAAGAGGAGGAAGAAGAAGAGGAAGAGGAAGAGGAAGAGGAAGAGGAGGAAGAGGAAGAAGAGGAAGAAGAGGAAGAACAGGAAGAAGAGGAAGAAGAACAAGAACAAGAACAAGAACAAGAACAAGAACAAGAACAAGAACAAGAACAAGAACAAGAGGAGAAGAAAATACTAAAAACTTTCAGGTAAGCTTCTGGAGTTTTCTTTTGAAATGAACATGAACAAAATACTTAGCTGCTCAATCCATTAATAACTTTCAAATTATATGCAACTGGAAAAGGATGGCTGAATTAAAAAGATGTCAGAAAGGATGCATTTTTCAATCTGTCTCATAAAGGCTTCCAACTTTACAAACCATTTTCAAGTTTTTAAGCATTCAATCAGCTGCAAAGTGCTGGTCCTCATGATGATGATTAAATGACAACTTACCATGGATGGCTGGGTGAAGGGACTGAGAAACTGGACCCTTGTATGAATGCTGTTGCATAAAGAGCCAGTAGGAAGTGTGCCAGTCATTCCTACATGGCAAACTTCCATAAGTTTTTTAGTCTTTGAAAAACTTTACTTAGGGATTAGCTGCACCCTAGGAAAGAAACAGATTTCTAGTGCTTCTGCTGGCAGTCAAAAAAGAAAGAGCAATTCCTGTGAGAACTATTTGAAGTATAATTGGTTCCAACTAGCTGTCCACCAGTTTTCTTGGCGCTGTCTGCTGCCCCCAAGGATCTTGCTCCCACTGAAATGAATGGTTTTCTTCACTGCTGCATGGGAGAGATCCAGCTGGTAGTCAAAGGCAGTGGAAAGGTCGGGGACTGCCTTGCATAGATTAGGGCACTCAGACACACACATATTGCCATGCAAATGCATCACAGCAGCCTGGCCGTGAGCTCCTATGACTCCCATCAAAAAAAGACATGGTCCCCAAACTCCTTTCTGTAGGAACAGCCTTGATGAGGACCCCCACCTTGACTGGCATGGCAGGCAGCTGCAGCAAGCACGACACAGGCCCTGGGCTCTGCCTGGGAACAATGCACTCATTTGCAACATAGACTTGGCCACTGGTCAAACTTCCACCAAATTCAACACGAACAGGTTTATTTAACAGACCGGATGATATGCCTTGCCTCACACCAAAACACCCCCAGCAGTGCTTCCTCTTCAGTCTTCCAACTAATCTGTCCATCAAACTGCTCAACAGCTTATCTCAGTACTTCTCTGAGTATATTAAATGCCAATTTAAAGTAAATTCTAGTATAAACAAACCCCTTCTAGCAGAACATTAGAAATATGCTTTTATTTTAGTTTCATGTCTGGCACAGTGAAAAAAAAATAGCAACTCTGCCTTTAGACATTTCATAGCCTTTTTTTATTGCTCAGTGAAACAATATAAAAGCTTTTTAATGTCAAATCCTGGATGTTCAGCAACTTTTACCATGTTAATGGCTCCTGCACGATTCTTAGTTTGAGTCTCACTTTATTTTAAGGAGGTCAAGAATTCGTAATTAACTGAGCCCTTTGTAAACCAACACCATTTGGGCAGATCAGAATCTCTACAGTTACAGGCAATGTCACTTACAATCAAGCTGAAAGACAGGAGCTAGTGGGTACTATTATTTCCACGTTAGAAGTTTAGCTGCCTTAGCTTCAAGAGGCTCTGTCCTCATACCAAAAAGAAACCATTTTAGGAACACATAGTCTTTTTCCATCAAGCATTAAACATTTGCGTTAAGACATTATTAGTAACAAATCATGTGCTGTAATCCATAAGGTTCTGTGAATATCTGCATCAAGTAATAGTGCACTGAGTGGCTAATATAAAAGATATAGTACAAAATATGTAAGAAGGATATTCTACTATATATATATAAATATATATATTTCACTGGTGCATAAATCAGTTGTGGTTTATTAAAGTTACCTCCACGATTACATAAAATCCAAAATACTGTGTCAGTACATGCTGAAATATTTGAAGGTCAAATCTACTCCTATACCATAAAGATGAACTGCAAAGTGCTACAAAATAAATTACAAAAATATCACGTAAAATCCCCAATCAATAACTGTGCATATTTATGCATATAAATATTATGAATCAGAAAGAACTACCTTTAAAAATTAAATATTTCAAAAATCAACTGCCAAATTCCAGCTCTGCAAGTTTGCCTTTTCCCTGCCAAAAGAGAAGAGTTCAGATTCTCACCTCATTTATTGGGCAATAAATTGTGAATACATAACTGAAATATGTTGACTCCATCCCAGCAAAACTTAAGACTGTAATCTGGGCTACTGGGTCAAGCTCTGTTCATGATCCAAATTACATTTGATGTAACTCCACTGACTTTAGTTCAAATATTGCTAACCTAAATGATTTTCCATTGATTTAGGATCAGCTCAATGGCATCAGATATTATTTCAACAGGAGGAGAGATTCATGGCTAAGCAAGAAGTCTGACAAGAAAATAATTAAAAGGAAGTTAAAAGAGAATCAGTAAGCAGAAGAGAATGGTAGTATCTCTCCACAATAAGACAATGTCCACATAGACTCAGGGAGGAAAAAAGGCAGACGTTCCTAACATTGCTTCTGAGGAACAGCAGAACACTTGTTGACATTTAACTTCAAACAGGAACTATGACGGATATCCTTAATCGCTGCCTTCCCTCCTCAGACAACCACAGCATGTGCAGGGTGACAAAGACACCACAATTCCTGGGTCATCAGTAGACTTCCAGCTCTGTCCTCTTCTTTAATGAGGGGAGAAGAACACATCTTTGGGACATATTTTGGAGAAATGAAGAAACCACTTTAGCAACTGCACTCCCTTTCCCTAGCCAGTGGCAAGAGAAAGGAAGTATCTCACTACATAGGCCTAGAAGAATGCAAATGTGGACATTCTTG